TTTGGGCTTAATTTGTCAAATAAACAAAAGTTTCGGGTTTATTGGTTTCAATACTTACTCGGTTTCATTAAAGACTCATTATTTTACAACAGTTTTCATTAAAGTCCCATTATTTTACAATAATTTGGGACTTATTCGTAAATTATGGTAAAGTAATGGGACATTATTAAAACCGAGTAAGTAATGAAACCGGTAAACCGGGAAAATAGGGCCAAATCGTCATTTTTACCAGTAATTGAGACTTTTTCGTAAACAAATTTTAGTTTGGGACTTTTTCGTAAATTAGGCTAAAATATTGGGACTTTTCCGGAGATTTCCCAGCCAAAAATTGCGAAAAATATGATTTCAAGGGATTTAAATGGTGAACTTCTCAAAACAGCGGGTAAAAGGGTAAACAAAACTAATTCAGGGGTTAAAATGATTTTTTTTTTCAAACAAGGATAAAAAATGTAAAGTTTTTGGATTTTGGGCCAAAATTGTAAAAGTTGCGAAAAGTTTGAATTTTAACAGAAAAACTCATTACTGGAGGGGCTGAAACTGCTAAAGAGTAAATTTTGAGCTAAAAACATCACTTAAACAAGTCTATGGGTCAAAAATGACTAGAAAATGGTTTAAGGGTCAAAAATGTCTTTTTTAGCAACTATAATTGTCATTTTTATTAAAGAAGGGTTGAATAGGTCAAACCAATAATTTTGAGTCAATTATAAGTTATTTGGGTCAAAATACCAAGTTGTAATCTATGAAAATAGAATGAAGAATATACATATATTTCCAAATATCGTTATAAACAATCGACAAGCTTCGTGCCGTTGTGAATTTAACAATTGTTAAATCAAACTTTTCGACAATTACACTATACCTAAAACAAGTAAATATTCAAATTGTTGGGCTTGAAAGTTTCTAATCATGCTTATTGGGCCTTTGTGACCCATTAACATGACTTTTAGGCCTAACAATAATAATAAATATTATTGGGCCTTCTGTGACCCAATTACATGCTTAAGGAACCCTTAATGGCTTTCACATGCTATTGGGCCTCAGTAACCCATTAGCATTGCTAGTAAGGTCCAAATAAATCATATACGAAATAGGCCAACGCGCCCTTCGTATACTCGACAGCCTTAGATAACATACATAATTAGTATGACCTCGTGGTCCTCTTCTCCTCGTATGTTAGGCTTACCTTCTATTCAAGTAAACAAAAATCAGGTCGATAATCAAGAGTAATCAAATTCATTTGGATTAAGTGAGTAATAACGGGCGACACCATTGAGTGTCGGTCGTAGTCTGAAGTTATAATCAAAGTCTCCTGGAGGGAGAGCGAGAGTTTGTGTATCTATACGGGGGTGACTCCCCCACACCTCAGCTGTTCGATATAGTTAGACTCGGCCAGTCTAGGGTGACAAAATCTTAAGATCAATTCCGGCGTTTGCTAGAATGCCAAGACAGACGAACTAGTCATTATTATGCATGGTTATAACGACTCGCATAAATAAATTCAATACCATCCAAGTAATCAAGGGAATTCGTAATCATTAGTTGTGATGGTATAATAATTCAAAATGATCATACTGTTTATCGGAAAACATCGGGTTTTTCGGGGTAATCAACATTAATCACTTGTACTTTCAATAACTACAACGCCAAACCTCTTATATATATACACGTTTTGAAATCATTCATGCATAAACCTATGGATCTTCACACTTTTTGTATAAACAATTGCGGTTTCAGAAAATATCGGATTTTCTGGGTTTTATAAACTATACAAAGCATTTTCATACCAAACCTGCTTATGAACTCACCAACATTCCATATGTTGACGTTTTCAGAATAACTTGGATTCTCAGTTAACAAGTAAGCTGAAGAGTAATACTAAGTATGGTAGGATGTTATGTTTTGAAAACTTTCAAACAATTTATGCTATGAAAATGTAATATTTAGACAATGTACTTAATGTGAACAATGTCAGTTGTAATGTATTAATGCATGGTGATGTTTATGTTATGATTCATGTATATTCATTGTGATGATATTCAATTTAAGTCATGCGAGCCCTCGGACGTTTCCGCCGTCTGGTTCGGGGGTGTGACATCGTAATTCAACGGGAAACCACACAAGCACTTCAAAGTCTCTCTTGACTTAGAAGGAACAGATCGTTGCCCGGGATCAGTTAGCTTTTCATATCAAAACTATATGATATCATACAATCCCACATATTAGATTTGCTTTATTTCTTTCTCTTTAGCACACTCTTGCACTAATATCCTTGTGATTTTACCAAGTCTGGTTTCTATTCCGAATGAATATTTACAGAGCTGGAAGTTAGAACGACAATTCCAAAAAGGATAGTTCTAAACATGGTCAATCCGAAAAGTTTATTTCATTATTTTTGGATAACTTCAAATATTGGAGCGATTTTTGAATTTCCCTGACAGTGCGTGGTTATTGTAAAGGCTTCTGACAGTCATTGATGAGCTGGCACGATTTTATTGGCTAATTTTTCAGCGTGCAGGAATGTGAAATGGTGGTTTCTCTCTCAACTTATCATATTTCATATAAAAGGCTACCAAACGGTTCATTTTCCTTCACCGCAAACACAACTCATAGATTTTCAAAGCAAAAACTGCTCCTACTCTCAACTATTCATCATCTTTCTCAAAGCTTCAATGGCTAGTTTATTTGAGAATGTTTCTTTCGTAGATCAGTCTGCTTCAGTCATCATGCTCACAGTTAAGCCTAACCAGAACATGATCATCGACTTCGACTCTTCTCGTTACAATGCCCTAATTAGGCCCATGATTGAATGTATCTAGTTCTCGCCGCTGATGAAGGTGTTAACAATGGTTGAAGCAGTTCCACTGGATCATCTTTCTAAATCCTTCTCTACTTCTCTCTACAACAAAGATAAAGACGTTATCCACTTTGAGGTTGTCAACCATAAGACATCAATTTCAAAGCCCCACTTCTGCAAACTTCTAGGGCTTCTTACACCAGAAGTAAGTGTCGATCCTTAATTAATCCATGCAACCTCTATGATCAAAATGTTCTACCAAATGGGGTACACCAGAGACATCTCCTTTCTCACCAAGTCCAGAAAGTCCTTTTTGCCGCCGATGTGGAATGGGTTATCTACCCTTTTGTTCAAGAGCTTATCTAAAAGGGTTACAAGATCTGACAATGCCAGTAAGCATTTCAACACTTTAATATATGGCCTCTACCATGGAATCAACTTGGAATATGGGTCTGTTATCGAGAATCAATTTATCCAAAGCACCACTTCATCTACACGACACATAGAAATTTCGTGTGCTCATTGCTGCTCTAAAGTTATGAACCGAGCCCTAACTCACTTCAAGGTTCCACTGATGAACAAATCTCTCATCGCTTAAATTCCAATCCTTTAGACGACTACATTTGTTATGTCGGATCCAAGGAACTTCAAGTCTGTTGGTTCTATTCTTGATGCTATGTTGGAAAAGGTGTCACTGGACAATGTAATTATCAGGGACTATCGGAAATTACCCTCTTTGGTGTTCGTCCCATTCCAGCATAATTACAAAAGATAATAGATGAGGGCGATAAACCGAAGAGTGGGGGGGGGGGGTGGAAGCAAAGGGTGCTACTTCAGAAAGCGTCAAAGTTCCTAAGAGAGCAAAGAAACGCTTCAGAAACCGAGATCTCCATCTCTGGTTATTCAAGAGGAATCTAAAGAGTGAACTGTCACTGAAATTTAGGAGGACAACACACTCCAAAATGAAGAGGAAGATACGGCTGCAACTTCTGAACCAAACCCTACAAAAAATATTCCAAAGGTATGATCTCCATTATCTTCCTCCATTCCATCTTTAACACTACTACTCCACCAACAACACCTGTTACTCCACCAACCTTACCAATGACATCCTTACCCATTACCTCCACAATTCTGATAACATCCATCCCTCCTCTACTACCAACGAGTTATGTTGGAATTTCACTTCCTAAGATCTCAATCCCTCTCTCCTCCCCCATCTTCATAGATTCAACTCCTCCTACCATATCGATGATTTCTACTCCACCAGAAGTTCCTTATTTCAAATCCGTTTCAGAGGAGATCAAGACTTCGGGCATCCCTGTCAACACATCTGATGTGGGGAAAAATGCTAACATTGGTGTGACATCCGAACATCCTTCATCTTCGGTTCCTCCTGAACATAACGATAATAACATCTTTTTTGGTGAAGATCAAGAACCGATTACTGATTTTGTCTTTAACCCATTCACTATCAACATCAACAGTGATGATGATGCTCCGATGATAAAAGGACAGTTCAAGTAGCTGAATGAAAAGCTTGATTCTATGTTGGAGTCTTCCAATTCAACTTCTTTGTAAAAATGGGAATACATGTTGACATCTCATAGAGCTACTGTGGAGATGCTCACATCTTCAAATGCCAAAGTCCTTGAAGAAACAACAAAGGCATGTTAAGCTTTAGAAAAGAGGATCACGAAAACTTTTGAAAAGGTCAAGCAGTTACAAAAGGAAATCAAGGAATTTATGGCTGACTTTAGGACTTCCTCTGATCACAACATAGCTGACATGAACAAGGTCATTGCAGGATTTCGGTCCTCTTTGCAAGCTGAAAAACAAGCTCTCTCAACACTTCATGCTGACATCAAGCTTGACAATACTGAGCTCAACACCTCCATTTATGAACAGCTTACCAAGTTACAAAATGACTTGGCTGCTAAAAACAAGATTATGGATAAACTGTTAGAGTAGATGCAAAAAAGCAAAGGTCCTAGTTGAGAAGCTGAAGAATGCTACCCAGAACATTGCCAAACTTGAAGACAAAAGATCTTTAGTTAAAGGGTGCATTTTCAAAATCAATACACGCTTGTTGCGAATCATCGAAACTCGTGATTATTCCATCACTATCTCTGTTAGACAAAATCTCTCTGAAAAGCTTTATCCTATATTCATAATGCTAAATTAACTACAGGGTGTTTCAGGAAGCATGGCTTCTACGAAACAAGGGGGAGATGAGGAAGAAAAGTTAAAGAATAAGATTGATCAGAAGGATAATGAAGCTTCTAGTTCAAGAAAAGATAAAGGCAAATGTATTTTTGAAGAAGACAACAATGATAATCCGATGATGTCTGAATCGGAAAGGATTGCTATGGAGAAAAAAGGCAAAGAGCTTGACGAACTCAATGCTCTTCGGAAGAAATTCGAGGCAGAGGAAGCTGAAGCCAAGAATGCAAATCTAATGGCTAATTCTATACATTCGCAGATGGTTGGGGGAAAATCACAAATAAGCTTAATCCATCTACGATTTTGATGTCTATTTTTGTAAAAAAAAAAAAAAAAAAAAAAATTTGCTATTTTTTACAAAGTAATTAAGGAAAATAACTAATTTTGTAAAAAAAAAAATTAATCTCACATTATCCAACTTCTTCCCTCCTTTCTTTTATTAAACTTCAGCATTTCATTTTTATTAAATCTTAATGCATTATTTTTGTGTTAATAACATATTTTATTAACAGAAAAACTCAAAAGGGAAACCGAAAAATCACACGCAAAGATCGCAAGACTGAGACCAATCCGAGAAAAAAACATAACGACACGAGACCATCCCACACGGTCCGAAAAAACATAGACCGTTCCAAAACTAACTCAGGGCCGTTCTAGGAGCATCGATATGCATTTCTATCAAGTGTCCGATCTCACATGAACTTTGAACACTGTATGGTATAATATACTCATTGACATCTTTGAATTTACCACAGTGGATACCCTCTAAGGTGACTAGCATAACGGGCTAAGGGCTACTCAATTTCTTTAAAGTTAAATGTTCGACCTCTTTGAAATTACCATATTGCATACTCTTATGTGAAGTAGTTTTAAAATTAAAAACTTTCTATAAAAAAAATGTAAACCAATACTCTCAAACAAATCATTTTCCTTAATTCTATCTTTTTGATAAGCTAAAAACTTCAACCTCCTAAAATCTTGTTGCCAAACACACCCATAGTGGTTAATTTGTCAACTTTTAGCAGAAATTTCAAAAGACAAGAGAAGAAAACGAATTTGACATACTTGACCCCATATGTTTTGTATCTTCTACTAAGTTTGACCTACTCATACTAAGACTGAAACTAATGAAACGTGGGACAGACAAAGACTCTGCCTCAATCTCCCCTATGTAAAAATAAAAAAGACATAAATACCCTCCTAGTCCTATTCATAAGAATATCCCTACAAAGCATCCAGTCAAATAATTATTAGCGACAACAAACAAAATGACTTTTCCTTTACATTCAAACCAAAAAATACTTTAAAAATATTTATAGACATCTAAAAAGTGAGGTAGTGTGACTTCTACCAACATATATACTACCAACAAAGTAACAAACACTATGATGATGATGATGATGATTCATTTGTTTTTGGGGCATATTCATTCATTCATTCATCAGAAGCATTTTTTAGTTTACCCTCATCCACTTGTTCTTGTTCTTGTGCTTCAGCAGTAGATGCCTGGATTGGCTTCTTGAATTGCACCAAAATCATGGTCATGTTGTCACATCCCTCTCCTGTGGATGTTGATGGAGCCAAACATTTATCAAACACTCTCTCACATATTGTTGAAAGTTTACTTTCCTGCATAATATTATATTATAATTCCAACAGTTAGAATATATAAAAACAGTCATTTGACATTCATCATCACTTTTAAGTTTTAAACACAAGGGTATAATGGTCATTCTCTTTCCTGTATAAGTCCAATAGTTACAACTTACAACTCCCAATTTATAACTACAAACGGTCAAATAAACAATCATTGGATATTCATAATCACTTGAATACAAGGGCAAAATCGTCATATTTACGTTTGTGTATGATTCCAAGAGTTAGAATTCCCAAATTATAACGATAATCAGTTATTTAGAAGTCTAATTTAGAAAAGTTCCCACTCTCAAATATACAGCTATTAGTTCTTTAGAATCACTAAACATGAGGCTAAAATGGTAATTTACTTTTCTTGCATATTCCAACGGTTAGAATTCCCAAGTTATTACTATAAACAGTTATTTAAAATTTTAATTCACAACTGACCTCAAATAAACAAGCAATTGTTGTTCAATATCACTTTTTAACAGAGTGGTAAAATGGTCATATACTTTCTTGTATAACTCCAACAGTTCAAATTCTGAATTTGTAATTAGAAATAGCTATTTACAATTTTAATTTATAACAGTTACCAAAATAAAACAGTCATTTTTATTATTCAGCATCACTTTTAAACAAAAGGGTAAAATGGTCATTTACTCATATTGAGACGTTTCAATTATTCCAAAAAAAAAAAAGATATTATGTTTTTACAACAATTAATCCGTACATCATTTAGCTCTTCTTTTTTAATTAATCCAGAAAGTACATTGGTCAGTATAGGACTTTCCTCGTTAAATCCTAACCTTTCACAAATTTGCCCTTGATTATTTTTTTCATCCACTTTGTCAGATGTGCCATTATATTATTTTCTCAAATATCTTTTAGACATTTATTTTAACACTCAATGGGGAAAAAAAAAAAAAACAACTTACCGATTTCAGTTGTTCATGAACAAAATCCACTAATTGTTGGCTTGACATGCAATCCCTGAATAAATGAAGTAAACAATTCAGCAATAAGGAAAAAAAAATAGCATTGTACTTTCCTACTTTTTTTAATTACAGAATTATGCTTCCATTTTATCTTATTACAACATTGTACTTTGTAATAAAAATGTGGTACTTTCAATTCAATTTAGTTAATTAAAAAAATGAAAAAATAAATAAAATATTTGATAATGTGGAGTGGTGGGTATTCGTATACCCCATGGGCTTATAAAAGATATTCTAATTGGTTATTAAAGATTATTACATTAAAAAAAAAAAAAGTCATATTGGAGATAACTGAAGAAGCAGCCCTTACCAGATACCATCACATGCCAGCACAACAAAATCATCATCATCACAAAGCTCAACCTAAACAAAAATATAAAATTTATATCAAAAATAAAAAATGAAATTAAAAAACAATTGAGTTATTCCAATTACTCTATAACAATAATAATAGCAAAGGGGCTTACAGTGTTCACATCAGGATTTGCAGTAACAATTTGCTTTTCAGCAGACAAAAACTTGTTCTGCTTAAATTCCATGTCACCTGCAAAATTATTAATAATTACATTTACATCACCATTACTAAGCAAAAAGATAAAACGGATAACAAGGTTCCACAAGCACAAGGGCAAAAAGGTAAAAGTACCTATAGCTCTTGTAAGATTAAGACTACCATTAACTCTTCCCGCATGAATAAATCCACCTGCTTTTAGTATCCTATCTCTCTCAACCTCAAGCCCTGGCTTATGATCTCTTGAAAGATTGTATGCCTGCAATTTTTATTTACATTACATCAAACTTGTTTTGTATATTTATCAATTATCATATCATATCATATAATAATAAAGGAAAGATTTTTGATATTTGATATTTGATATTTGTTTATTACCTCACCCTTCCTGGAAATTACACATCGGGAATCACCAGCATTTGCAACAATCAGTTGATTGTTTCTCATGATAGCAACACATGCTGTACATCCGGATGTGGGCCCCGTGAAATCAGAATGTGGACCCTACAAATAGAATATGCTATTATTATAACCAAAAATAAATAAAAGTACATTGCTGTTTTTGGAAGAAAAAAAAAGTACCTCCTCAAAAGCCCATTCATCAAGCTGATGGCTTGTTTCTCCTCCTCTTGGAGACCATATGAGAGACTCAATGACACCCGAGAATTTGTTTATTCTATCTCCCAAAACAGATAACTCCCTCCACCCTCTTTGTCCTCTCATCATCTCATCCATTCTGCATTATAGAAACGGAATCGGTCATTCCATTGGATACGATGGAATCAGAGAAGGAATGGAATCCGTCATTCCATTGGGTTGTTTGTTATGCCTGATTGAATGTATTGGGGCAATTTATGAAAGTAATTGATTGTTTTATTATTATAACCTTACGTCGGTTCTAATGAGATTTTATCATGTTTCATTTTCAAGCTTGGTAGATTATAAATTCCACATTAATCAAAAAATAATATATATAGAATGATAGTTTTCCATGTTTCTAATAGAACTAAAAAAAGAGGATCATGACTATATGAAGAAATAAAACAATATATAAATCCAGTAGAAGTGTTTCAAATATATAACCTTATAAATGACTTCTCCACAGAAGTTTCAATATCTCCACTAGAATATGCTTCATGCTTCAGCACTTGTCGATGGAGATATTTAGCACAAAACTTGGCAACCACTTTACCTGAGATGAATAAAGTAAAAACATCAAAAGTCAACATATATATATATATATATATATATATATATATATATATATATATATATATATATATAAAGTAATGATTGGTACACACCTCCATGTCCATCATATACACCAAAAAAAGAGGTAGAATGGTCGAGGTCAGGAAGTGCTGCATGCTAAAGAACACGACCAAAAGAAACAATTATGTTTTAATTTTCTAATATGTAAAGATTTGGAATTGATGACATGGCATTTCATGAGAAACTAAGTGCAAATATTGCCAAAAATGAAACTCCAGGCACCAAAAAGTAGCATTCATGTATTTACCTAATCAAAGTCAAATGTAATCTATTTATCCAAGAAAAATGATAACAAATTAATTCATTCCATTTTCCATATAGATATAGAAAATCTTTAAAACTTGGAAGTTGGAAGTGATTATCTACTTACAGCATCTTCCATTGTTGCACGCCACCCTTGCATTGATGATAAACCATATTTCACCCTTCCATTCTCACCATCTTCAGAGAACTTTTCTGTTTTAGGAGTGCTGAGATATGTACCCATCTTTTTACCTGAAATTACAATAAAACCAAATGGTCGAAAAAGCATCGATGAGCTCTTAAAAGTAATGATAAGAATATTCACATGTCAATTGTTTCAAGCATCAAGCTCTGCTGCAAAAAGTCATTTAGGCCCCATTTGTCACATAGGAAAAAACATCATGTATAACTGAAAATAACCCAATGGAGTAGAAGATCCTTCAGGAACCTTGTCAATTTCATTCAAAAGTCAAAAAACCAGTCTAAAGATGGATTGAGACAAAGGATCCACACTTGAAAAAAAACAGTCCGCGTTTACGAATAAGAAAAGTGTTTCAATCGTCGTCTTTCAACTCCCATATAATCGAGAGATTTGGGATCAAATCATGAGAATTGAAAATTATTCCAAGATTTCTAGTTAACGAATCG